GCCCTCAGCGTAAGTTTCGTCCTTTATTTTCCCCGGCTTCGCGATTAAACGGGGCTTCTTCTATTTTCTTTTTTTTCTTTCTCTCCCTTCTCCCCTCCCTTGCGAGGACGTTTTAGCTTTTCAGACGAGAGAGAAAATCTTACGAGCTTTCTCTTATTCCATCCCGAATAATTAAGATTTGTTCGGGTTCGTACGCGATCCACTCCTTTTTCCTTCGTTCCGTCGTGACGAAACCGTTTCTTTGTTTCCGTGTGATTCGACACGGCATCGGCGTGGCGGCCGATGGTTATTTCCTCGAATCGGGCAGCGAATTCTCAATCTTCGGTACGAAGGGTACTAGTTTCCTCGGGGAAACCACTGATTTGTGGCCGCTGCAAATCGATGTTGCCTTAATACACGAAGCTATAAAAGCGCCACGAAACGGAGCTACCGAGGAGAGGATAATAGGAACCTCCGGTGGTTTTCAAAAACGAGCTTCTCCCGCGGTGTGTACACCGGCAATTTAATAACGGTACCGAGGCCGTGTTAAACTGTAACGGTTTACGAAATTAAGATTTTTCGGGGTAATGCGCCTGCCACATTAATTCCGTGCACTCTAATTTCAGGCCTGCGTATCGTATTAACGCGCGGTTTGATAAAATCCACCGTTTTCGCCCAATTAGCAATTTATTCGCGCGTACATCCCGTGCGAGGGGGGGAACAATGATTTTGCTGTAGACACGCTATCGCGTATCGATCCGTGAAACGAACGAATGCGAAAAAGAGGAAAAGATAAAAGAAAGGGAGAAAGAAAAGAAGAAAGGCTATCGAGATTTTTCACGCTTCTCGCCAACGTTCCGATTAACAGTATAAACCTGACAAGAATGGATTAATTCGAGACGGACGAGGATTCTTAGGGACGACGATCGAAGACGCATCGTATCTGACGGAACGTGTTACGACCGTTTGGTAGCCTCCTCTCCCGCCATTCATTAAGTTTCCTCGTGCTTACCGGCATACGTGACTTACCGTACCGAATAATTGGACTTTCGTTAAAGTAACAGTTGCTAAGATTTCGCGACGATCGTTTCGCAATTTCTCGAAAGATGTCGACCAGTTTTTATTGGTCAGGAGATTTTTCGATTCGCGTCACGAAATTACACATGTTCGAAGCATTGTATTTTCTTTTTCGACCGAGTTAAAAATAACGGAGAAGTGGAAAAAGTGGGACGGATAGAACGGATATTAGCAACGTTCCTTATTCAATATTCGCGTTTATACGAGATATTTATACAAGAGATACAGAAATCGAAGGATGATCGAGGTTATCGTTGGTCGGATCGATGACGAATATTGTCATTTCAATATCGTAGAACGTCAGAAACAACAGGATGCATAAATATTTTAACATGGGAACGAGTATTCATAAATATTCCGGATTACAAGTGGCCGTAATCGTCTTTGGAATTATCGACGATATCGGGACTGTTATCGTGAAATATTAGGTACAATTTAATACTTTGTCAGCACGTTGGTCTTGGCCGAGAATTAACGGCGAGGCCGGTGAAAAATACGACAGCGTCGGGTATAACGCGTACAATACGCGCGAAACGTGTAGGATACGAAACCGTAAGCGCACGATAACCAGAAATACTTATTGCACCGGGGACCGTTCCATGCCTTCCTGAACCCGATAGAATCGTCTAGTCGTGCGCGCGCGCTCAGGAGAGTAGAGAGTTCAATAATCTGCCGCGGCAGATCTTCTTGTCCGGCATTGAAGTCTCCAGCGGCGCTGCAGCATCTGCTGCCGCGATCGTGCCTCTGTCGTCGTTATTTCGCCAACAACATCGTGATCGTTTAAAATTCTTCTTTAAATCAATTATCTCGACGAAGTTTGCTTACGGTAATTGATCGCGCGATCCTTCAAACGGCCTATTGCTTTTGCCTTAATTAAAATAAAAAAATAAAAACGAAACAAAAGGGAAGAGTATTTAAAGGGTTTCGTTGTCTTTCTTTCTTTCCTTCTTTTTTTCCCCCGTAACGGTTTCTCGTAAAAATGTTACAATGTCATTTTAACGCGCTTATTACGTTATATGCAGCAGTGCCAATCGTTTTTAATGCGTTTCATCGTAACAAAGAGGGATTCTCCTGTCGAAAGTACAACGAGGCAGTAAACGTCAGGCTTGGCGTGCTTTTAGCCCGCCAGTAAAAGAATACGCCTCTCCCACTGTAACTTGCGGAAACAGATTTATGATAATCAAGAAGCCACTGGTCTTCGTGCCTCGCTAACAGCTTTTTTTCTACCCGCGCCCCCATCGATTCCTTACCCTTCTTTTTTTTTTTTCCCCTCTCTTTTCTTTTTACGCCCAGTTCCTCAAAGCGAATTTCGATTTTCCAATAAGCGGCCGAGATTTACAACCTTTCGTGAGCTCGGTCTACCGTCCGGGGAGAAGAACGCACTATCTTTCCTCCCCATATTTTTTTCCTCAATTTTTCTCTCTCTCCCCCCTTTTTGCTCGCTATATACGTGTTACTTCCTTTTCGATTTTTTTTCCCGCGCGGGACGTGTTTTTTACTGCCCTTCGTACGTCCCACGAAGAAGACAGTCTGACAACGTCCTTCTCCTTCGCGAAATGGATTCTCACACGTACAGGAACGCACACTTGTCCACGACCACCTCGTCCCGACTGCAAGTAATGCATGCGCGACTTCAAACCGATCGTCAAAGTCAGCCGGACGTCGGGGCCTTATACGAGAGAGGAGAATAGGGTGCCCGGATTTCGTTGTGCGATGCGCGTACGTACACGTGCGCACATACGCATACACGCGCATGTGTGCCCGCGCGCAACGCACACTTTTGCAACAGGGAACCTGAATAACTCGCGCCGTGTTTCGAGTGCACCGTGTATACCGATAAAAAGCGAGGGAGAAAAATTTTCTCGAAATATCCGCACGATACTTGGGGGATTCCCCTTAAAATTTCTGTGGCATCCTATCGGATGTTTAACGAGATTCTTTACGAGCCAACTTCAACGATTATCCCTTTCCGATCGTTCACCCGAGTTTTTTTGGTAATTTTCCTCGAACTTCGACCGGTCTTTGAGGTATCGTCCTTGAGAGTTCGATGACTGGCAAAAATTTCGCCCTTTACGAGCGTTTCTTCGTAAGATCGAATTAGCTGACGGGGATATGCATCTATCGAGAAAACGATCGGCAAGAACCGATCAGGCGATCGAGAAAATTACGAGGTTAGCAAGTTTTTCATCCTCGATCTAAAGTGGGTAAATAAACGAAAAAAGAAAGGAAAAAGAAAAAAGAAAAAGAAAAAGAAAAAGAAAAAGAAAAATTGATCATCGCGCCGATTATGATGTTGACGCGATTCCCCTAGCCTGTTCTGCTATCGCGTAGATTTACGCGTTCGCCGTTGAGAATACTAAAAAGTAGTGCGAACTACGCAAATTGCCGAGCAAAAGAAATTGCTCGACTAACAAGCTGCTTATAAGGACACCGCTTCCTCGGCTATAACAAGAAAAAACGGGAGTGTTACGGGATTCTTGCGAGGCTCGATTCGAGTCGATATTTCAACTGTTACCGGTCGACGACGATTTCAAAGCGAAATTTAGCCGATTTATTCGCACGCAAATATTATACCGATTTTCTCACACGCAAGTTTTTACCCGTTATTTCGCGCGCGAAGGGTCGAGGCGGATCGGAATAGCAGAAAAATATCGTGACAAATTAGATTAACCACCTAATGCGGATTTAATTGGCAGCGTGGTGAATCGGTTTCTGCCGCTCCGGTTACTCTCCGATTTCGTACGAGCAGGAAGCAAACGGGAGAAGAACGCGGTTATAGATTTTTTTCCCCAGATAAAGTAACGAGCCTCATTACGCGAGCCAGACTTACACGTATCGCGCCGAGTTATAGTGATGCGCGATCACGTGGAATTTTGATGAGTATTATATTTGAATTATCGTTTTTTTTTTTTTTATTCTCCATTCTTCCGTTTTCGCATAATTATGTTTCGGTTAACAGCTTTCACGCGCTCGTTGACCGCTGATGACTGCGAATAATACTTTTTTTTCCATAAAATAATACGTCGCGAATAATACGTCTACGCAAAAAAAAAAAAAAAAGAAATCAAATCGCTGCGATGTTTGATAGGTTCGTCAATATAAATAACATCGTCGGGGGGGAAAAAATTCCCACAGACGATGCATTCGGAGTTAAGCACGCGCGTTAACCTATTGCCCTATAATATACAGTCACACTCGCGGCGCAAATTATAGTTTAAAACGCGGCTTAATATATCTCGACATTTTTCACCTGTCATGGTGCTCGACCAGTTACACAGCCGCACGCAACCATTAAAAGAAACCGTATGGAAACACTTTAAACTTGGGAGGAACATCCAACGGGAATTGGAAACTGACGAATTCGTTGACGTATTCCACCGCAACTTTCGAACATCGGGCGAACTTTAACCATCATCCACCAGGCTATGGAACGGGAGATTGATCGGTCGCACGAGCAACCAGAACAAGCAATTTCCCGTCCTTTCTGCTCGCTGGAAATCGCCGTTTCTTCGCTTTTATCGCCGACGATTTGGACGACGTCGAAACGACTCGGTCGCTCCATTTCGCGTTACGTACGTATTAAACCGTGCACAACGTCGAGAGATGGGCCCCTGTAATTTTGGCAGACGCGATATCGCGACCTCGCCGCGATAAAAGCTCCGCCGGAAGCGGAGGGTCGTTACTCAAAAGCCAGGACGCCGCGAGAAATCGATTCCCCGGCGAGCACCGCTTCGAGACGCGTTTGGCACGCGTGCCAACGCGCGTGTACGCGTATTTGCACGAGACTCGACGGGCAGAACGGGCAGAAATGAATCTCGTCTCCGTCTCGTCGAGAATTTGGAAAAGTCACGTGGGGGGGGGAGGCAATGATCTTTCTCGTGTAGAATAAAAAAAAAAAAAAGGAAAAAAAAGAGGGAGAGAGAGAGAAAATTGAAGACACTTACATGGAATTGGTGGTGTTCCAGTACATGCTGATCGTCTTTGCGCAATTGCTCACGGTCGAGAGTAATATCGTTTGCAGGCAGACGAAGAACACCAAAGTTACAAAGGACGTGGAAACCATCGTAACAACGTGGACGGACGAGCAGCGCGCACCGCGTCACCACTGCTCACCGGGAATACAACAATCAACAAACAAACGACGAGAACAACAAGAATAACAACAAATACGTTGACGACACCTGCACTGCCTTTGTCGCTGCCGTCCACGACCACCTTCCACCACCGTTGCACGGACACCACATCCACACTTTCACTATCCTCCTCGTTAACTATTAAGTTCTTGCTTTCCTTTCACTCTTTCCCCCTTTATTTTATTTTCCCTTCTTTCCCTCTTTCCTCGAACGACCAAATTATGGGACTCGCGTATCACTCGTCCCCGTTTATCCACCCGAGAAACATTCCCAACAAGAATTCGCCGATCGTTCCAACGGTACACAGTTTATCCGCACAAGTTGGTACACTCCTCCGATTCGATGTTTTCGAGCGAGGAGAGTGAATCTAACGGATGAAGGGAGAGAACGTTGAGAACGTTGACTTCACGAATAGCGAAATTCTTTGGTGAAATCCTCGGCGAACGACGATTGGCCGTTAGAACAGATTAAATTTCTCCGGTGTTCGGCTGCTTCCAACGGTGTCCACCGAGGTACGCGTTCCATGGATCCACCCCGTGTTTCTCTCACCACGAGCGCACCTTGCTTGCCCTCTCATTGGTCTAACTTTTCTTAAATCCGATCGGGACGACGAGAGACTATCGACGAAACATAGATTATTTCGATAGACGGGACGAACAGGTGACGCATCGGAGAGACGAATTTTTTTTCTTTTCAAAAATCCATCCGACGAAACAACTCTTGGAACGACTTCTTCGTTGGTACACTTCTTCTTTCACGGACAGTAAGAGCATCCGACGCTCGGCGACGGAATCACGCGAATCACCGTGGAAGAGAAATTCTCCCGAGCATCTCACCAACGATCCTTTCTCTCGGATCGACGCCGATGTGTCGTTGCGTTTAAAAGGGGGGAAAAAAAAGAAAAGGTTTCACAAAAAAAAAAAAAAAAGACAGTATCGAAGGTTTCTCACAATTATAAACGAGATCTCTCGAGACACTGAATAGTAATAAAATGCACCAGTCTCCTGGGGCTATCCTGGCAGCCACTAGGAACAGAAGAAATTCCGATCGCAACAGATCGCACTGTGAAATCTCACGCTAGGAGCACAAGAAAGCTAGCGAAACGAAGTGGTAGCCTCTTTCGCCCGAAGCACACCCCCGTACTTTCTCACGCACTTGCGATTCGCACGGATCGCGTAGCCAGCGAAACGGAGCGACGCTCTCTCTCTCACTGTCCACCACGCGAACGTATTCCCCAACAGGATCGAATCGGAGCGATGCCGATCTTCGTTAAATCCAATTGGGGCCGATGCAACACTTCGTCTCCGTATACGAGAGTAGGTCGGGAAACGCGTCGAACCGGTGTGGAGGAACGGCCGAGAACGATTGTTACAAGAGGCACGAGCTGCGCCGAGAGACGAGCACCGTGAACGCAGAGAGAGCGGTACCTTCCTGTTCGGTGTCGCGGACGCGTCTGTCGGCCGAGCGAACTGTCGCGGCCGTTCGTCTCGCGTCGGCCGACTCGAACGGCGACCGGGGGTGTCGGGGAGCGCCGAGCAGCGGCGGAAACGCACGAAGCCCGAGGACCCTCGTTCCCTCCGTGGCTTCGCCGACGTGTCTTGGCTTGGTCCGCGGCTACGCGGTATTACGCCGCCTGCTCGCGAGACGCGAGTTTCCGAGTGGCTCTCCCCAGTCTCGCGCGTTCCCGTCGCTTTGCTTCGTCTCGAAGCCCGGTTTCCGAAGCTCGAGAGTGCGCCGGATACGACAAGTGTCGTCGCTACGCGATCTCCGTGTATTCCCTTTTCTTTCTTTCGCGGGGGAAAAGAAATTTCGAATTCGAAATTTTGTTCCTTCGATGCTCGACTCTCGACAGATTTCGACCGTTCACTCGTACATACGTATCGGGGATCCAGGTGATATTGGACAAAAGGGTGGAGATTTTTCACGTGGACGATGATTCGAAGGTGGCCGATGATTCGGTTTGATCGATGGTGAAGTTTTCGTACGGATGGTCGCGGATCGTGGACGTGAGAGTATTTGATCGAAACAGGCGGAGAGGCGTGAATTTCGGTCGAATTTCATCGCGGCGAAATCACGAGGTGTGGGGAATTGGATTTTTTTAAAAGCAATTTTCGCGGGGGAATTACGTTTCGTCCGGCGCGCGGGGAGAAATTTTATTTATCGCGTGCCGTGTTTGGCTTGTGGGCCCCGAGTTTTTGGACTCGATTGAACACTATTAAACGAATTCGCATAATTACGCCGTCCCTGATAAGATACGTAATTTCCTGTTTAAAATTCTTGATTATCGTTCAACGCACTCGTTTAATATCGCCTTGCGCTCGGGGTGTTTGTGCAAAAAAACTTTTACTCCAATACTTTCCTTCGCTTCCACTTTTATTACGGTTGTAACAGTATCTTGGATTTCATTACGACTTTAATCCACGATTAATTTCTTTACATCGCTGATACGAAGTTTCGTCGACCGTATTAATAATTTACAGCAATAATTTATTACAATCTTAAAATTCCATTTTTAACGACAATCAAAAACTTAAAAAAAAAAAAAGAAATCCGTAAAAATTCCTCCACATTCTGAAACAACCCGTACAACAATTTGCTCTCTGAAAAAAATTGCTTCGAAAAAATCAATCGACTTCTTCCATTCCATTCTGTTTCCATCCCTTTCTCTTTTCGTGACCGATCTCATCGGGATTGACGCGAAAAGTCGATGGGAACGGAGGTTAGCTCGAGTTAAGTAAAGTTCGCGACAATGTGATCCAGTGTTTTCGTTTAATCAGCAAGCCTGGAGGCGCCTGGGGCTCGGATTTGGCTTGGCCCGCTCTTCGAAAAGACGGTGATTTGACACTCGTTAAACAAAAGCAAGCGGCGTGATAAATAGTGCGGCGCGGACATCAAGCGTGGAATTTAATTTCGAGAAGCGGGGGAGGGAGGAGCCCGCAGCGGCGCACGGGAAACATTGTTTCCATCGAGTTGGAGCGCGCACTGATTACACAACCTCGTCGTCCCTTAAGCCTCATTACTGAAAATTTCCATACGGCTTAGAGCGCATTGAGCTGCGCGAGTGCACGAGAGCGCGCGTGGTGGAGGAGGAGGAGGAGGCGCGTCCGCATCACGATTCGCCTCCAGTCCCTCGCGAGCTATGAATTAGCGTCCCTTCGTCGTTTCCTTCCCTCCCCCTCGTCCACACAGAGGACGGAGGCTTTTAACAGAGCGAGAGTGCTCTCTTGACTTACGATCGCCGTTAGTCTCTCTCTCGTTTCCTGTTTCAATTTCGGCACGCGCCTTAACCGCGTTTCCACGCTCTTCGCCTCGTTTCCCTAGTTCCGAACGCGGCTGTGTGAATTCTTTTCAAAGGTTCTAGCTTCAGATTTTTGTGGAAGTGAAGGAAAAAATATTTTCGATATATAAGTTTCTTTTGTCTGATATATATATATGGGTCGAGTAATATGGAGCACGTAAGTTAAAAATCAGGAAAGTTTGAAAAGCGAGAATTAGTGAAATTATTTGCTAGTATATCGCATATAATTTTTCTTTAATCTTTGTGAAAACATTAAAATAAAATAATGGTAAACGCGTGAATAAAAATTGGAGAAAAAAAAGAAAATTTTCAAACTCGTGTTCGTCTATGCAATATACGTTCATCGAAAAAGTATAAAATATTAGAGAAAACGTTGCATGCTTTGCAACGTTCACGTGCTTCGAACGCGCTCGAGTACGTGGCGCCCTCCTTGCGAACCAGATACCACGATCATCCTCCATCCACCGTATTGCTCTCCCGTACAGAGATCTTCTCGGGGGCATGGTTCTCTCTTGGCTCTCGAGGAACCGGTATCTACCCACGAACGGTCATGCCGGTCATTAGTCCGACTAATGTAACGCTTCAAATTCTATCGGGCCATCGGGCGCCATGATTCGTTGCATCCTCCCACTGGAGAGTCGACGAATCGTTAATATAGAATGGGGAACACGCCCGATTCTCGAGAGATTCCAATGCTTTTCACTTGGTCCATTTTTTTTCTCCACCGAATAGAATATAGATTACGTCGAAGTGTAATCTCTCTCTCTCTCTCTCTCGAGCCGTAATTTTTCTTCTATTTTTCTCTTTCTCTCTTTCCTTTCGTGTTTTTCTTTTCTTTTTTTTTTTTTTTTTTTACGTCTCGACGTTGATTGTTAGCCGAGTTGTACGTATGTTTTGAATTAATCGACGATCGAGAAGAGTAGTGGATGCGACTCGTTAGTTGAAGAGAGTTTCCGTGTTACTTGTTTTCCACGGGTTTTGCGATGGGATGAAGCGATCAGCAGGTCTGATAGAATCGTCAAGAGAGTGGAAACACGGACAAGGAGTACAACGAATCGATTATAACCGGCGGCTTGCTTTTTCCCTCGTTATGGGTGATTAAACAATCGTGTTTCGTCGCGTCTGTTCGCGTCCGTGGCCAAAGTCTCGAGTGGCTCGTTAATGTTCGAATGGTGTGTCTGTTTTATCCACGAGGGACGACTAATGTTAATCTCGTGTATTTATAATGTGAGAAAAAATTCGTCACGAAATGTATTCATCGTGTAAAATAAACAGACGCCTGTGTAAAAGTGTCGATTGAAAAGTTACAATAAAATCGAGGAATCATCGTGAAAAGATACAAGAGAGTGTTGTTTATCCCGTATCGTTTCTCTTGAAAAATTCCTATTCCCGATCGACAGACACCCTCCTTATTAAAGAATCGTCTTTAATAAATAGACAGGATAGACAATAAATATCGTCCCCTCTTCAACTAACTCTCCTCTTTCCTCTTGCTCTTCGGTTATCGTATTACGAATCTAAAGGATCGAAATCAAAAAGTATCTATATTCAACGTGTGTAAGGAGATGCAAAGAGTTTAGGGTTAACCGCGGCATTAATAGAGTCGAGTCACGTTCCACGTACCGCGATATCCTTAAATCGTCCTCGAACAGAGAAGAGACTCGATCGAAGAGTCCCGATCCGTTGACCCACGATCCACGTTTGTTACACATCTTCGTACCGATTCCCCGGCTACTTTCTTCCTTTTTATTCTTCTTTTTTTTCTTTCTCCTCTTTTTTTCCTTTTCTCCTCGATGCCGCACGTTCGGTTCGATCGCGCACGATCGAGGAAGAAAGGGGCGAGAAGTTCAGCCAGCCGAGGCGATGAAGATATCAAACGGATGCACGTCGGATAAAGAGGTGAAGAGGCACTCCGATCTGTAGGTTGTATAAATACCACCAGTCATGGAGACGAGAGTGCTTCGTAAATATTGATCGTTATTCTTGCGGTTCCCGTAGACCGCGGAAAAAGAAAGGCGCGTCGTTGGAAAAGCCAAATCCTATGTACACATCAGGAAAGGATGGCCATTTCGAGGGCCTTTCCACTCGCGGTCGAAACGATTGACCGACAACTGGCGGGATTCGTCGAAACCGCAGACATTCCGGAAGGCAGGCAGGCAGGCAGGCAGGCAGGCAGGTGTGTCCACACGTCGGTTCAGAGGCAACTTTGTAGGGTACTGTTTACGCGAAAACCTGCGAAATGTTCGGTTTGTGTTTCCATCGAACTCCGAGACTCATGCTCGAACAATTTTCGAGTTTCCAACGGGGAGGGAACGCGTTGATTACTCGTCTCCGTTACTGGCGATCCTCCGCGATCGATAAAACCGCGATTCTTTATAATACTTTAATTTCGATCGACGTAAACTATTCGAAATTTGGATCTTTCGTCACTCGATTCGACGTTCAAATTTGATTTCCCATGCGGTACGAATTGGAACGAATTTATTAGAAATTCGCTGATTCAGCACGTACGCCACGTCATATAGAACAGATGGCGTCTCAATTCTTGGTAAACGAAAGGAA